AAAAAAAAAAATATGAGCTTTATTTTAACTTTTTAAGATTTCCTGTGCGTACAGTTTGAGTTACCTATTCTCTCTTTTCAACATCCATACACCATTTCTTTTCAAGCTGAAAATCTATAAAACATGTAAAACATATTTTTTTTGTTTTTAAATCAAAGACTACAGGTACTTATGAGATATAGTGTGACAATGGATCACTCTCAATCACGTTCTTAACAGTCCAGATAAAGTTTTCGTCGATAAGATTGTTCCGCCCCCTCGTATAGCCCTTTTACAGAGGTGTAAGGTTACAATTCCAATTTGCTGTTTGTAGACAAATGTCACTAATACCCCAAATTTACTACATCTCTTATTATGCACATTTTAATCTATATTGGCGATATCTGAGCATTACACATAATTTAACAAAATTGTTTCCCTAATTAGGAGACGTATTTTTACAGTCGTTTTCACAGGAATCGCTGGAAAAAAAAGCACTAGATTTCTGTTATTACCTCAAATATCACGTCAGAAATCTACATACATAGTAATAGAACAATATAAAGATACATTTGAGGAAATTGTCGAAAAATATCGCGAATTATAGAAAATAAATGAGTTAAATTTTGGATTCCGAATACGTTTGTTTTAAATTTTTTGTTGTATTTTCCCTCAGCGAATCAAAAACGATAATTTTAGGAGAAGTTTTAAAAAAAAAAGAAAGGGGGATTTGGGATATTTAGGGAAACATTTGTAAAAATTTAGGTTTAAAAGTATTATTTTTTGATAACATAGCTGGGAGATTTTAAAACACAACCATAATTTTTTAAAATTTAGTTTTAAAAACTGTAAAAAAGCTGATTATTTTTGCAAAAATCCCCGTTTATATCAATTAATTAACTATCACCCTTTTTCTCATTTCTTATATCAGAATAAAGTAGACGCTTGGTGCTTTCATTTCCTATAATAAAATTTCTTTTTGAGAATCCAGATATTGGAAAACAGGCTTTGAGAAAGTGCAATGTTCTGAAATCTGCAGAAAACATGCGTATTTGACTACCTTCATCAAAGAATTAAAATATGAGCACAGCTCTCGATAAAAAAAAAAAAATGTTCTTTAATCTTCGAAACAGATCTTTATTACTATTTTCATATTTTGTATCAGAAGTTGTGCTCTATATGAAATATTGAAAAAATACTTCTACTTTAGGCCATTCAAAGGAATTTACAGGATATGAGGAGAATGACACATTCTAGGACGTCATAATGCATTGACTAGAGGGAAAAATTTCTTCATGATTAATAGATACGTAGACACCAACACTCCAAGTGATAAATACTGCATTTACAACCTAAACTTAGCGGTTTTGATTTTTCAAAATTCTAGGGCCAAATAAAGGGCCCCAAAATGGCTCTTGCTCTTGAACATTTATGACCGTTTTCTTAGGAGGTACTTTCCAGTAATGTTTCACCAAAAACTAAACACCTGTTAGATTAAGGCATAGATGATAAGTGAACACGTACATCATAGAATAGAAGATTGGAATTGATTTCGTTCTAGAATCAAACTGAACCAAAATTTATCTAATTCAAAATTTTAATATATCAGTACATAAAATGAGACTGAAAAAATAATTGATTGTTTGGATTTAAAAAAAAAAATAATTAACGCCCCATGCGAGGTTCAAACCAAAAACATTTCACTTCCAGTGCACTGAATAGGTAACGCATATTACTGACTATCCCCTTTCACATAAAATGGACTTTAAATATAGACAAAGAAGCACGAGATTTACACAGTTGCATTTTTTGGAAAAAGTTCGTTTTTTTGGTCTCTGGGTTTTCTATTTTTTTAAAAATTAAAATTTGTTTTTTGAATTAAAATGCACACAAATAACGTTTCAAAATCATGGAGAGAAACCCAGAGATAGAAAAATTTTAGAAACGTGTTTTAAAAAAGTACTTTTTTTAAAAAATGTCTGAACTAGCCGATTTTCAAATTATTTTTTTGCAAATCAAAATTCACTTTCGGGAAAATATTTTCCCTTTTCCCATTGCACAGGAAACCCGATAAATAAAAATTATGTTTAAATTTCATGGGGCATGTCGATAAAATTTTCACTTTTTGATACGCCCAGATTCCTGCCGAATGCCAATCAAAAGCGCCCTGGTTCTTTAGCCCAAAAAAATATTGAAATTTCAAAACTATATGACGTATGTAAGATTAAATAATAGCAGTGTCCGCTTAATTTTTTAACGACCCTCGTATATCTACCATTTTCAGAAATATATAATGCTTATAAAATACTTGCATTGCTAATGAATATCTTATGGTTGACACCTAATCTTGTTAGAAGGACATTTGGTATTTCCGACAGAAAATCTTTTTTTTAAATAATGATGTTTTAAATAATGCGTGTACCGACACGTTTTGTTGCAATGTGTCTGCATAAGAACCAGACGGAAATCATTTTATGTATAGTAAAAAATTTTGACGTTTGTGATATGAAAATGGGTATAGCGTACATGACAATTTTAAACCTTGAAAGATTGCATTAATCTATAAGAGGTTTGAAAACTATGGTCTGAAGAAGTTTTGATGACTGAAAAACAGTGAGACATGCCGAATTTAAATATATCCCCAACTCTGGAAAAAATCTTTCTTGTAGCTAGGGATGGCAATCGAATATAAATTGCTATCGGTTAAATGTACAGTTTATCAAAATTTTCTTTTAGCTCTTATAATCTACAATATCATATGATGCCAACGGGCCAAAAAATGGTCAAGGGTAAGATTTAATATGTGCCTTTGGCTAGGTGAGCTAAAAAGAGATTAATTTGCGTGGACAAAAGTTACACTGAAGTGAAAAATCAGGCATGAAAATGCAGTCCAGCAGATTATTTAAATTAATAGCTGTAAAAGTGCGCTGCTGCGTCCCTAATATATTTGAAGTTTAGCATGTATAGATTCTGGATTATCAAAAGTTGAGATTCTTACGCAGAGAGATCGGGCTCCAAGTGGGAACATATAAAGGTCTCGCTAAGGGAGACCAAGAGTTTTCCGAGATCAATATTTTCCCACTTGATGAAGACAGATGGCCTAAATGTTTGTGAACGTTCTGTTGCAGATAACACAAGAATCTTCAGGTACTTATAGTATATCTAAAAGAGTTCAGAGTTTAGCGATTTCATTTGCATAGCTGGATTTCATAGATAAAATTCTGAAAAGTGCTGAGAAAACTTTTATATCCTTTTGCCGGTGATGTTTATGTTCGTTCCTATAAGAGTGGGATGCGTCCCTTCTTGCATGTTTGCAATGGTCATGGGGTTTAAATATGTTCACACGCCTTCAGATCGCTGAATTATATGAATGTTTAAGAGGACTTTCTATTTGTAAAAATGTATTTTAAAGAATTTTGCTTTCAATTTAATTGATTTCTTTTCGACTAACCGATTGCAGACTTTCTTATCGATTGCCATTTTTCCACCAGTTTTGGTTAACCGGTTACAAAGATCAATCACTAATAGTATCAAAAATAATTATTATGATATCTGTTAGAGCAGGGGAGTTATAATTACACATATGTACGAGGGTTGATCCAAAAGTAATGTCACAACTTTATAAAAATTTCTATAAATCGACGTAAAGCAACAAAATTATATATGATGGAAGCTCTATCTATTTCAAATCTGACCAGAAAAATTCCAATTAATATGATGTATACTTTCCAACATATCGGATATGTTGGAAAGTACACATAAAGCATTTCCCCTTCATTTCATTAAAAAAATATTTGTGAATCGCAAATCATTTTCACCAATTCCACTTTCTTTAAGAATTCTTTAAGAATACACTCACTCTTTTCATAGGTAAGCCCTCTGTCAAAATGTATTTACTGAAGCATAAGACAAACTTAAAAATTCACATGTCACTCTATAGTTGTTTTTTGACAACGTCAGACACTATTGAACTTTTCCGTCCGATCTCCTATCTTTCGGTCTTCTTGTCCTCTGCTGATCATTCAGTGACCAATCACCCGCCCAAAATTGCTGAAGCCATCTATTAAGATGTCTCTTGTTTACATTCCTTATTCTGTAAATCTGATTAATTAACGCATCTGTCGATTTTGATATTCCCATATTTTGAAGCAAAAATGCATTACAACTCGTCGAGCCTTTTTTTCCCATTTCGAAAATCCATTTGTTCAATTCAACAGAGTAAAACAATAATGTTTATGATCAAAAATACCAATGCCGTCTTTTAAATTTTCAATTAAAGACTAGAAAATGACGAGTATTGTGTCTTTTAAAAATTGGGAGATTAGGTACTTTTTTATTACCTTTTTTATGTGTTTGTATTTTTTATTCTAAGAAAAAATACACTTTAAAACGTGACGTTCCGTTGTGACGCGGCGACATCCCCTATGCTCTATGTTTTAAACATCTATAAAATAAATTCATAAACATTGTTGAATTAAAATTTCAATGTTACTTAGATTTATATGTGTGCATCATTTGGTATATTGTATTTCATAATGTGACGCCAAATATAAAAGATATGGACACTGTGGCATTACTTATGGATCAACCCTCGTATTACGTGACCCTTCAGTCCAATCAATTACTTTTTGTTGAATAATCTTAACAAATTTAATTGACATATGATATGCTTTAGTTATGCACGTAGTTATACAAGCATTATACATATATAAATTTCTGAAATTTTGAAAGATACGAGTTTTATATACGATACATGAATATCTTCCTGAACAAAACTAAACATAAAGCATAGAATGGTAAATCATGAAGGTCTTTTGGAATTGTAATTGCTAAAATTCATATTTAGTATATTGCATTGTAGAAGGAACTGTATATATCCATTGATTCCCAACCATAACCAACAACAAAATGCATTTTAAAAAATCAAGCTATACGCATTACTACGGCTGAAAATATTTATTTGTAATGAAATAAAATAAAAGCTCATAATAATTGTGATAAATATTTTATTACCTCAAAAATTAAAATGATTTAACAGAAAAACGTCTTTTGCGTAAAGATATGCGCCGTGTTGGTTTCACGGTTTGGTTTTTGGCCTCCTTACAAGCATCGCTTACAGCCGCCTTTGGTTCAACGACAATATTAAGTTCTTTACACACAGTGCTATATACATCTGAAACATTTACATCACATTTGGCCGATGTTGTAAGATAGGTACAGCCCCAGTCAATAGAAACAATAGCATCAATAACTTTATTATCGATAGTGTCTTCTTGTATCAAGTCCGATTTGTTACCAACAACAATAATAGGAACTTGTTCTCGCTTCTCTTCAAGAATCAGTTGTCTTAAAGCTTCGATTTCTCTGAAAGTTTGCATGGCGTTATCAAGGTCAAATACCAGTGCAAAAGCATGACTTGTCTTTACCGCTTCCCTTAACAGGTCCGGGTACTCGAAGTCGCCTGCCGTGTCCAAAATCTCCAGTTTGGTGTATTTATTTTCAGATGTGTGAATATCATACCGGAACATCGTCTCAATGGTTGGATCGTATTTTTCTCTGAAGCCCCTTTTCAGTATTTGAGTTATAAGGCATGTTTTACCGACTTTTTTGGCCCCAAGGACTGCAATGCGAAAACACTTTTCCATTGTTGCTGACATGGTCTACGGTATTTCGTCAGAGACTATTCTTTTTTCCGTTCAGCATGGAACTGGATTTTAAGAAAAGCTCTCCCACTTTTATACTACTTTCCCTTCTGTTTCTGCTTTCTTACTGGGTGAATTATTCAGCCCTCATTATCATCTTTTAGCACCTTTCGAGCATTGTGAGCGTATCAGTAAAAGAAGTAAGATCTATAGATTTCTGATAGGCTTACAAGGAAATAACATTTAAATTTCTTGGGAGGTAATATATTTCATGAGACATAATTTTCCAAGACCAATCAAATGGCAACAGTGTATTTATCCTTTGTACATTTGAACCTAAATATACATTTCCAGGGCTGCCTTCAAGATTGTAGAGGCTATTCTAGCAGTTAGGTGTTGTATGTCTATCTCTCCCTAAGTAGCGGCTAGGCTACACGTAGTTCAAGAGGTAGCTTTATCAGCTAGTTTATGTAACGGCTACGTACATGGCATGGCAGCTACACTGTTGAACGCACCTCTGGTATCTTCTCGCAGAGATAGTACTATGTCATACAACCTAACTTTGTTAAATCATTTATCTAATTTATCTATTTCTGTTAAGTCTCGTTTGATGAAACAGTCTGAATTATAAATTAATTGATATAATACTCTACCTCAGGCGGTACCTAGTCTGTATTTATCAAAGTCTGAGGCATGTAACGATAAAATTATGATGTAGTCAGCAAACAATTAACAATTTCCCACCACGCTTTGGTCATTCTGGTGAATGTGCAGTTTCGTCAAGTCTTCTTTTAGCTCTTTTATTCTACAATACCCTATGATACCAACAGTTCACAAAACTCGATCAAGAGCCGATCAATTTCTTTAGAGATATATAAATAACGTTTTTCAAGATATAGTGCTCTACTATGAGGAGATACAAGTCGGGATGTAAAATTTCATATCAAAAACCTCATTTTTTTTTTACATATTCGGAAACAAAAGGTCTTGAATGTTTTTTACCCTCTGTCCTCAAATTGTTCGAGTCACGGCCGCGACTGACTTAAGTCGATAAAAAAATAGGAAACAACTGTTCTTTTGCCATGAGCGTTCAGCACTTCAAAGTAAAAATTTCGGGTCCTTCGGATGAGATCTTGAAAACCGAGGTCCCTGTCACGGTAGGCGTTGGCACGATAAAGACCTCACTGCTCAATGGCCCTGAGAAATGGTCTAAATTTGAAGCCCTTCAGCGGTAGATGGAAACGTCTCTATATGAGTGAAAAATTCTCAAACGGGACCCCTAAAAATACAATCAATCAATCAATCAAATTACATAGGTTTTTTTTTTTTAGATCAAAAGGAGTTATGAACATAATTTATTTCAATGCATCTAAAATTATCACCTGGAAACGAAAGCGTTAAACATATACGCAGAATTACAGACGGACGGTAGGAAAGACTGTCCAAAAATATCCCCTACTTTCAGTCAAATCAGGGACAAAAATGTAAACTCCATTCCCATCCATGAAGACCATATCTCGGAGTGAGGGAGTGTTTAGCAACTTTCTTTCACTTTATAAAATTCTTCCTACCAACTTTAAAACTTTTTCTGACGGGAATGGTGATGGAGGGGCTCAAGATCCTTATATATTTATGTTTATTAAATCCACAAATTGCAAGAGGGAAGGGGGAGGGGGGTTCCGGATAGAGTTTATGTTGCAACAATAAATTACTATATGGGAGTAATTATAGGTAATTTCAAATACTAATGTATATGCAGTATATCTATAAATTGAAGACATATATATTTACAAGTAATTTGTAATCTTCACTTGTGACATCACAGAAGTAATTTTTATTTAATAAACTTCTTCATTGAAAGATATAAATTATTTACAGAATGTTGTTTAGTTGCTACAAAAATATACCGTGCACGGAAGCTTAAAAGTGGTAAGGCGTTCGCTACATGTGATCGGTAGGCTAGGGTTAGATTAGACCCATTCAAATGGAAACTGTTCACTTTAATGTGTCTTATTGTACCTGTACTCACTTCTTAAACCAGATCTAGCGTAAAGTAACACTCGAACTACAGCTTATCTAGTAAACGTAATGTCACAGTTATACTTTTTTAATCTTTACAATACCTTGACCTTTTCAATGTGAATTATTTCTACAGTTTTTATTTGTTAGAGCAAGTCACTCTGTAGGATGGAGACCAATTCCAAAATATGTTTTATATTAAAGAGGCTGGGGGGTGGCAGCCATTTTCAGAATATTTCGATCTCTTTAAAAGAAGAGCTCCATATAAAGATATACAAAAATGATCAAATTTTTAAACTAAAATGTATGAATTTTTTCTTTGCCAAATGATAGTTGACAGCTTAAGATAGGTTTATAAAAAAATAAGTTAAATCTGGTGGTTAATTTGTGGTTAATTTGTTGATCCCCCAGCCTCCGTAAACCTCACTTTACTCCCAATACTGGACATTTATCCCTCCTAGCCTGACACAAGTTGAATTAAAAAAAATCAAATAAATCATTTATTTACGGTGCAACATTTTTCTCATACACAATTGTAACATACTGTCATTAACAAAATAAATAAAACAATCATATTGCACTGTACCACTTCAAAACTCACATACAACATTTGGTAAATAATTGGATTTCTGTTTTCCATAGTCAACTTGCCAAGCTTAATGTGACTTAATTAATGAAAATATAAGTACCCAACATAAATAAAGGTGCTTTGGTAGCAAATACGTGACTAGATTGCAGTGTTTAGTGCACATCAATCTTTTATAAAGACGATCTTCCCATTGTTTATGCGGCATGGTTGTTAATAAAATTCCCAGTTTTTGGCATACCAGGAGATAATATAAGTCGGACTTTTTATGGACTTTCTTGGAGAACCAGTCGGTCTGTTAGCAATGCTTTGTATAAAACTCTGATCAGTCTCAGTTTCTGTCTTCAGGATTAAGTCTCTGTAACCTTTACCTACAGTCACAATCCCCTGGGGTCTGAATGGCTTCAGGTGAGGGGGGTCAGGGGGACTGTTCTCTTGTAGAGGGATGATGGTCCTGATGTAAAAATCCTCATTGCTGTGACAACAGAACACATTGTAGGGCTTTAGTTCCACTGCGTCTGCCACAATTACACAACCAGACGTGGTGCCAATGTACAGGTATTTGTCAGACACTTTCATGGCCGTCACCTGACATCTACGAGCTTAAACAGAAAATTTCACAATATGATCATTTCAAAATCATTACAACTGCAAGTCATTCAACTCCTGTGCTTCTAATGAAAGAATTTTTTTTTTTTTTTTAATTTTAAGTGAGCCCACAATTTCCTCCCAGGCACCTTATCCCAATCGTCGGAAACCTACAGGTGATCTCGTCTTTACTTATCATGTGATCACCCGTTGGTTTCCGACGATGCCTTATCCCATCTAAAGAATATTTGGGGGGAGGGGGTGTTTATGACCTCTTCAAATATTTGTATTGTTTATATATTTTTTAAGACTGATCTGTTGGTTATTGTCACCTTTTACATAAATAATACACCTCATGTCACTGTCTCATTCTAATGAAGTAAGACACCTCATGACTGCTGTATTTTATGTACTTGAGTAAGGTACCTCATGCAGTTGTGTTTTTGATGTAATGGAGTAAAACACCTCATGTTAAAATATGTTTTTGATGTAATACAATAAGGCACCTCATGCCATTGTGATTTTGCTGTAATAGAGTAAGGCACCTTATGCCATTGTGTTTTTGATGTAGGCCTAATAGAGTAAGGCAACTTATGTCATTGTTTTTTTTTGATGTTATACAGTAAGTAGCTGCAGAACTGTAGCGTTATGGTTTTATATATTTGTCTTTGACCATAACGCTACAGATCCCGTAATGCAAAAAATGTGCAATTTAGAGCGCAATATTTTTTGCGCGCTTTTGGGGAGAATTTCTCCACTTTCCAGCATAGGTCAATTAACTACCTTTCATTCCCTAATTCTAGGCACATTATTTAACTAATCTGTATATTTTATCCATCTCCCAACCCTTTATAGTCATCTCTACAAGTGATAAACTCACTTGATTAAAATTGTATGTTAGATTGCTGAAAATTCACTTCAGGCGAGTTCATTGCCTGTAAAGACATCAAAAATGGTTGGGAGGTTGATAAAAAATAACATATTGTTATCAGAATATGTCTAGAATAAGGAAGTGAAAGGTTGTTGATTGACCAATGCTAGAAAATGGAGAAATTCTCCCCAAAAGTGCGCATAAAACATTGCGCCGTAAATTACAAGTTTTTTGCTTAACGGGATCTGTAGCGTTATGGTCAAAGACAAATATATAAAACCATAACGCTACAGTTTTGCAGCTATACAGAAAGGCACCTTGTGTTACTTGAGGAATGTTTTTAATTAAGTTTTGTGTGAGTTATTAGTGTGTGAATCACACAGACTTGCTTGTAGGCATATAATAGAGCAAGGCACCTCATGTGACTCTGTTTTTGATGTAATAGAGTGAGGAACCTTTTGCCATTGTGTTTTTGATGTAATACAGTAAGGCACCTCATGCCATTGTGTTTTTGATATACAATGTAATAAGTAAGGTACCTCATGCCATTGTGTTTTTGATGTAATACTGTAAGGCAACCCATGCCATTGTGTTTTTTATGTACCCGGAGTAAGGCACTTCATGCCATTGTGTTTTTTATGTACTGGAGTAAGGCACCTCATGCCATTGTGTTTCTGATGTTAATGGAGTAAGGCACCTCAAGTCACTGTGTTTTTTGGTGTAGCTCATGCCACTCTGTTTTGGATGTAATTAAGAAACAATTGTGTTATGTAATAAAGTAAGGCACCCCATGAAAATGTGTTTTTGATGTAATGGAGTAAGGTGCCTCATGTCACTGTGTTTTTGATGATATAGAAAATAACATCTCACACCACTGTGTTTTTGAAGTAATTAATTGAGTAGGGCACCTCATGCTGTTGTGTTTTTGATAAAATAGAGTAAGACATCAAAGCATCATATGCTATTGTGTTTTTAATGTAAAGAAGTATAGTGCATCATGCTATTGTGTTTTTGATGTAATAGAGTAAGGTGCTTCATGTCACTGTGTTTCTGATGTAATTAAGTAAGTTAGTAACGTACTAGTACCTTATGTTACTGTGTTTCTGATATAATGAAGTAATGTATCTTTTATTACTGTGTTACTGTGTCAGGTGTAATAAAGTAAGACACCTCATGACACCATGCTTATGATGTAAATGTGACTAAAATCTATGTAAATGATTCTTATTTTTAAACTACGTATGATTTCTTAAATGAAGTTAGCTGATCTAGCTACTTTGGATTAAACAGTGGAAATGATTGTCCAAAAGGAATGACTTAAACATAAAAATAATGTTAAGAGTAGTGAGATATATAAGAAGGTATAGCAAGCTAATCTCTACTGGAATACTGAACATTCTGCCAAAATGAACTTTTTTTCTCCCAAAGTCAACTGTCATGACACAATACCTAATCTACAGACATGGTACAATACTTTCATTTTAGAGAAATACTGAATAAGCAAAAAGTTTCATACCTTCATGGTTGTTGCCTAAGTAGGTATTGAAAAACCCACTTTCTGTTACAGGAACAACATCAGCACAATTAAGTTGTGCTTCCACTTTTCTGGTCTCAACATTCCACAGATAAACAGTAGTGCCTAAACAT